AGCCATTATTGTGGAACTTGTACGATGTATCAGAACTGCTAGAGATGGACCTGATGCAAGAAATATATTAGCAAATTGTAAAGAATGGCCAGATATTCTACGAAAATTAGCAACATTGTTAAATACATATAATCCTCCAGATATGAGAAATCTTGCTATAGATCTTTTGAAAGAACTTGTAATGCTTGTTCCTGCTGAAGCAATCTCAATTTTAGCACCATTGCTGTCACACTGCCATGCAGCTCTTCAAGAATCTCATGCTGCTGTTCCACCTGGTCCTTATCTTCCAAGAAGATCTACTCCTCCAGGAAAAATGCCTACTCGACCTGCTAGACCAATGGTTCAGATGGCAGTACCACATTCTCAATTAGAAGCATCAAAAGGAGTAGATCCAGAATATGATAATGCTTTACTTGAATTTTATTTACCATATCATGAACTCATTGATGTAATGTGCAGATTGGCAATTAATAACGATTGTATGACAGATACATTAGTTAATCTGAGTGCTATGTTAGGATTTGAAGGTAAATATTATTTGCTATCTAAAATTTGAGAAGTAAAATAGTTTATAATAATTATTTGATTACAGGTGTTCCATTACACTTAGCCTTATTTCCTAGATTATGGTTAGATGTTCATGCTGCTACACATATAGACAGAAAACATATTGCATCTCTTCTTTGTTCTTCCTATACAGTGGATTATGTAGATGCTGTGTTATTAGATGAAAGATCGTCATTAGGAATACCAGCAATTCATGCTTTTCTCAAGACCTTCTTTCCAAAACTTGCTAATCATGTATTGACTGAACAAACTTGCTTACTTATTGACAATTTAGTTAGTTCTATGGTGGCAATGGTGGAAGCAGTAGATATTCAAGCTTCTGCACATAGATTAACGGGAGATTTAAGAGCTTTAGCTCTTGTTTACAATAGCAGTACAAGACTGAAGCCACCAAGTAGTTTGTTACCAGCTTTAGAAACGTTATTGTCTCGAACCAGAGCTATTAAAGTAAAAGAATCTAATCAACAGGAAGTAGAAGCTCCTACGAAAAAACGTAAATTTATGGTAAATGAAAACAATGAAACTAATGATAAAGAATTACATTTACCAATCAAAGAATTTAATGAGCAAAAAAACGTTTCTAATATAAACATCGAAGAAAAAGACAAAATAGAAGTAAATGATATGACTTCTTCTGATTCTGGAGATGATAAAACCATATCAAGAAACAATATTCAAGCAGAAAATATTTCTACAAACATCAGTACAATATCTCCAAGTTTAATTGATACTGTGACAACCAATAATTGTACGAATCAATTGCGATGTTCGTTGACTAATGTTTCTTGGTTTGAAATGTTGGAAAAGACGATTCTTGATTTGCAAACAATTGTGCAATTGCAAGCAAAAAATAACTAATTCTCTACATGTTTTGAATGGTGCTTTTATTATAGAAGCATATAATACAGGACTAAGTTTACGTATAAATGTGTGATTCTTTAAGATAACAAGATGAAAATTCAAGATCTAAATGGACAAATTTTAGTGCTTTTATGTTATTAAAAAATGATACATATATTACTATATTATTACATATTTCTATATATGTATCAAATGCGATTTATTT